GGCTGTTTTGTAATCTTCCTTTTCTCCTGAGCTTTACATTCTGGTCTCTTTTCTTCAGTTCTTCCAGGAATACAAGCACAAGAGGACCCATTCACTTCCTCTCTGTGCGTCTTTCTTACAGCCAGCTGTGTTTTTTCCCTAGAATGTTGTAGTATTCAACTGGGCATTTTCTGCTTCATTTTTCCCTTTTGCTATTCATTTTACCCATTTCTAATAAGACCATGGAGAACACAGTTTTCTCAATATAGAAAAATGAAAGTTTGGGTTTTCTTTGATGGCCTTTATGCCTGAATGTTAACATAGACGAATGGTACCTCTCTGTGACAGCATCGGATTCATCAATCCAGCTCAGCCACAGAGGTGCCAATCGTAGGATGAAGACGACACTTGTTTATTGCAAAATGGGCTTAGTCCACAATCTCTTCACATGTGTGCTAATAAGCCAAAGAACAATTGCTGACGTAATAACTTTCAGTCTCTACATACCGATCTGACTTAACAAGTTACACAAAAATTTGTAGTTTATATCCTCTTTGTGTATTATTTCTATGGCTACTCAGTCCCTCAATTATTTTGTAAAATGATACTACTGTTTACAACGCTGGATTTGTAAAATCAAAACAAATGGGTGATCAGTCTGCCACAGCCTGGCAAGCCAGATTGTTAATTGTAAATTAATCTCAAGGAAATACCTGGTTTGGGGCATAGCGTGAACTCACTTAGTAAAGGAGTAATTTTGCAACCCAAGACCTTCTCGGAAAGCTATGTCATTAGTAAGTTGAATAGTATGTTTAAAAAGACAAAACAAGTTGAAATGACATGTGCTCACATTTTTCTTGGATTTCAGGGGCATCCCACTCTTGGTCAGTGCCAGGCTCCTCTGTGTCTTCATTTTATTTTTTTTAGCTTCAATTTCCTATTCTTACTCTTATTTCCATTCTCCGCCTTACTTTAATTGCTTTAACTCATGTCCTTAAAATGTATGCCTCCCTCAAAATATAAACTTCTTTTTTATGTGTTTTTTTTAAAATTTTAAATTGATATATTGCTTTGATCTTGTTCTGATGCTGGCTCTTCAGTCCACATTGATCTACTCTTCTGACTGTCTGCTGACTACTTCTTACCGCAGCATAGTATGCTCCCTTAGTAATGAGTCCAACAAAGGCTTCTTTGCTACTGAAAACCATGCTGCAGTGAACATTCTCACACATATTCCTTTGTAACACCTGTGTGAGAGAGTTATTTAGTTCAATGAATATGCATTAAGCATCTAATAAGTGTCATACACTGTTCTAGGCATGAAGAATATGTCAGTCAACAAAAGAAAATCCTTGGCCTCAGGGAGTTCATGTTCTACTGGTTTTTCTGTAAAGAATATATCCAGGAAAGAGAACGCTGGTGATTTCCTAGTATACACGTTCTTAATTTCGTTGTTAGAATTCCCTCTGAAATAGTTTCACCAAGTTAAAAATATGAATACTGTATGTATACCCTTGCTCTTCTGCCCCAAATCTGGTTACACAGGGAATCCCACAACTAATATTTGACAACCTGATAGAAATAAAATGGCATATCGTTTCTCTGGTTTCTGGAAAGTTTAGTATTTCGACACAGATGTCTAAGTCATGTGGCTTTACCACTTGTGTGAACTGCCTATTCGTATTTCCAATTTTTCTGCTTTCCTTTTTTATTTTTAAGCATTTAAAAGATGTTTTTTTCTGAAAATAAGGAAGATGGGGAGAAAAGCTGGAGAAAACACACCAGACCCAAAATAAGAAGGCAGGAAACAAATAATACATAGATAATAGTGCTCAATGAAATAGAGGAAAACAACCACAGTAAAAACTCTATGCATATGACATTAAATAAAAAGAATCTTTGGACGGGGGCTGGCCCCGTGGCCGAGTGGTTAAGTTCGCGCGCTCCGCTGCAGGCGGCCCAGTGTTTCGTTAGTTCAAATCCTGGGTGCGGACATGGCACTGCTCATCAGACCACGCTGAGGCAGCATCCCACATGCCACAACTAGAAGAACCTACAACGAAGAATACACAACTATGTACCGGGGGGCTTTGGGGGGAAAAAGGAAAAAATAAAATCTTTAAAAAAAAAAAAAAAAGATTCTTTGGAAAAAAGTACATCAAGTAGACAAAACTTTGGTGGGATGTGACCTATATAACAGAAAGAAGATACACATTAAAAAAATTCAGAATAAGGAAAGAAAATCAACTAGAGATACAATAGTGATTATAAAAATTATAAACTATACATCAACGAATTTGGAAAACTAGATGAAATGTTAAAATTTTGGGAAGAATATAATATGTCAAGTTATTACAAAAACAGATAAAACTTTTAATATACAAATTTGTATTAAATAAAAATTAAAATGAGGATTTAGAGCAAAAAACAAAGAAAAACAAGCCCATATGTCTTGAGAGGTAACTTCTAACAGGTTGTTAATGAAGAGATTTACAAGTTGTTATAGAAAATACATACTTTTTTTTCTGAGGAATATTGGCCCTGAGCTAACACCTGTGCCAATCTTCCTCTCTTTTGTATGCGGGATGCTGCCACAGCATGGCTTGATGAAGAGTGTATAGGTCCATGCCCAGGATCCAAACCTGCGAACCCCAGGCTACTGAAGCAGAGCACTCGACTTAACGACTACGCCACCACGCCAGCCCCTAGATGATATTTTTAAAAAGGAAAATTGGATATCACATTTAATGAGGCTAGCCAAATCATTTATTTCAAAATCAACAGGGATAGTATATTAAAAGAATATACAAGTTAAAAAAAACTCACCAATCCCATTTTTGTCCATGAGGAATTAACTGCTGTGAGAATTACTCTCCCTACGAAACCAAAAAAAAAAAAAAAACAAACAGCTAAACTATATGAAAACAGAAAAGGTCTGCAATCTCCAAGGAAAGGGAAAAATAAGGTAAGTGCTATCACTGACCTCCCAGATGTAGTTTCCAGCATGCGGCATAGAGAATTGAAACCAAAACAGAGCTCAGTAGTCTCCCTGTGTTGAGCAGATAGTGACTACAATTCAGGAAACCAAGAAGCCTAGAACTGTGGGAACACGTACTTGAGAGGAGAGATCTACACAGAGAAATAGTTCTACAAGACTGCAGAGGAATCTCTTTGAGATGTCAGCTGAGTACTACTCTGTGTATACAAGAGATCATGATAAAACCACCAGAAAGCAGTAGACTGAACAATCTCCTGGGCTTTACGTAAGGTTGTGAGTAGTCTGTGCTGCCACCAGCCACAGTGAAGAGACCTCATAAGAATGGGGCATTAGACAGAGTTCTCATGAAGTGAGTCGTGCTTTCATAGTGAAACCAACTGAACACCATGGAAAAATAGGTTGTTTTCAACTAACACTAACAAAACATAATAGAAATCCTTGAAAAACTCGAACAGATCCCAGGTAACTTAACTGCATGCCAGAACAAGGCCAAATGTTTTTCAAAGGAGCACAAAAATATCCAGCATGAATGAGAGAATCCAGATTACGATAAAAAATTACCAGGCAAGCAAAGAAGCAGAATAGCATGATCCATGTTATTAATATGATCCATATTATTATAACATGATCTAAGACTGAGATTAAATTTAGTCAATAAAGCAAAGTCAGAAAGAAGAGAGGTAATGGGATTAGCAGAAAAGGAAGTTGATACTGTTATTATAAATTTGCTTCCTAGGATCAAGAAGGTAAAGGAAAATATGAACAGGATAAGGAGAGGAAAAGAAAATATGGCAAAGACAAAAATGTAACTTCTAAACTTGAAAAATAAAAAATATAAAATTAGCGACTGCAGCAGATTAGACACTACAAAAGGAGAGATAAGTGAACTAAAAGACAAAGCAATAAAATCTATACAAATGAAGCAAATAAAATGGAAATCATCAGTGACCTGTGAAACAACATCAAGCAGTCAAACATAGTGTAAGTGGAGATTTAAAATGAGGAGTAGGAGTAACAGGAAAAAAATTTAAGAAATAGTGACCGAAATTTTTCCAAATTTGATGAAAACAACAAATCCACAGATTCAAGAAGCTCCACAAGGCCAAAACAGAATAAATATGAATAAAACCATACAAATCAGAGCTCAAATTATGCTAAAGAAAAAACTTAAAAGTAGCCAAACAAGAATGTATTTTATACACAGAAACAAAGATAAGCACAACAGACTTCTCATCAGAAATGATGCAAGCTAAAAACACAGCGCAACTTTAAAGTGCTGAAAACAAGAACAAACATTGTCAGTATAGAATTCTATGTCCAGGAAAGTCACATTTCAACAATAAAAGTGAACTTTCTTCCTGCTTCTAATTTGGAGTTGAACTGGGAGTAGGTATGTGTGCCTCAGGCCCAGGGCATGATGTAGGAGATGCTGGTAGCAAACCATTGCCATGTTTTGCCTTGTGCCCAATGGAGGTGGACACAGTGCCAGCAGTGCAAGGCATGGCGTGAAGGGTGGAGCTCAGATTTCCAAAGACCCTCTGCACCATAAGCCCTGTCAGGTGCACTGTGGAATGAGGGACCCACACATGCATTTAGGCCAAAGGACAGAGACAAATGTAAACCCTATGGGCCAGGGGCTGTCTTGGGGGAGGGAAAGAAGAGTAAGCCAGGAGGGAAATTAAGGCCAGAGAGAGTGCAGATAGCAAGATTGCCACTACCTGCAGCTTCAGGAGCTAGATGGGGCTGGTCCACAGGTCAAGCTGTGTTGACCCCTTTTAGGTGGAAGAAGGAATATTTATTCCTGAAAGTGTGAGAGGCACTTTCATGTGGCCTTTCTTTCTGGGCATTTATGTCCAAAATTATGATTCACAGGAGAATTTAAACCTTCTCTCAGAAGTGTACATCACTAAAGGAAAAACAAACAACCAATGCTCATCTGAAATTGTGATTGGCTCACTGATAATCACAGAACAAAGTTACAGATGCCTACTCAAGTAGGCGTTTCCCTAAGACCACTATAAAGATGTTTGACATAAAGGCTTGGGCTGAGTATGTTGGAGAATGGACAGCAAAGGACCCTTATGGTTTCCTTACAATAATGCATTTGGCCCTTACGCCACTGTTCCTAGGAAGTACCATACTCTCCAAGAAATTAGCCAAGATAATTGAAGCAAGGGAAAAGGATGAAAAAAGAAACAAAAACACCAAGAAAAACTCACAGGGGCGAGCCCAATGGTGTAGGAGTTAAATTCGCGTACTCTGCTTTGGCAGCCCAAGGTTTGCAGGTTCGGATCCCAGGCACAGACATACACCTCTCGTCAAGCCATGCTGTGGCGGCATCCCACATACAAAAATGGAAGAATATTGGAAACAGATGTTAGCACAGGGACAAACTTCCTCACCAAAAAAAAAAAAGAAGAAGAATTAAAAAGAAAAAAATCACAAAAGCCAAACAACTAAGAAAGGACTGAAGGAAAAAAACAACCTCTTCATCTAGAGGAAACCTTGGAAAAATGCACTGCGGTTTTTCTTGTATTTTTATGACACTACTATTCAGTAAACAAAAGTGTAACCTTATGGAAGAAGCATGTTAGTAACTTTGAGTCTTGGGTGTAAAAGTTTGCTGGTGTCTGTTGACAGTCATTTAAATTAGCATTTACTATTCTACAAACTCTTTTTACTAGTTAGTCATTTGCCATTTGGGAGCCTATGTACAGAAATGAAAACATACTATGGAGAAAAATGAAGTTAGACTACGAATTCTATTCAAAAAATGGCTTAAACTGAGATCTTGTTCTGGAAAAAGAAAATTAGGAAGACAAAAGTCAGAATTGTCCTCTCTGAGGTAAAAAGTGTTTCAGCTTAAAATGATACAGAATATTAATTACATCTTGTATCATTATTGTTTATTTCTTGGAATAGAATTATTCCTGGCTTTTAAAAAATAATATTAATCAATGAATATTTCTATTTTTTGCATTGTTTTCCTGATTTTTAACCTTTGAGATATTGGTAACATAATTACCTGACATTCTGCATTTTTTCTTCAGGGAAAGATTTGCCCTGAGCTAACATCTGTTGCCCATCTTCCTCTTTTCCTTTTTTCTCCCCAAAGCCCCAGTGCACGGTAGTATATCCCAGCTGTAAGTTGTTCTAGTTCTTCTGTGTGAGCCACCATCAGAGCATGGCAACTGACAGATGGGTGGTGTGGTGTGATTCATATGATTTTATAGAGAGTTCTGGGTATAGCAAATTTTGTACTTATAGAACTTTTATTTTCTTTCTTTGTTTTTTTTGAGGAAGATTAGCTCTGAGCTAACTACTGCCAATCCTCCTCTTTTTGCTGAGGAAGCCTGGCCCTGAGCTGACATCCATGCCCGTCTTCCTCATCTTTATACGTGGGACGCCTACTGCAGCATGGCTTTTGCCAAGCGGTGTCATGTCTGCACTCGGGATCCGAACCAGTGAACCCCGGGCCGCTGAGAAGCAGAACGTGTGAACTTAGCCGCTGCACCACTGGGCCAGCCCCAAAACTTTTATTTTCTTAGAGAAGACTTGTTGAGAAGAATAAAGCTATGATTTGAAGGTGACAGGAACAATTGCCAAACATCGTAGTAGCTTGGAATCAGTTAATTCTTGTTTATACTAAGTGAAATAGTTAAAATATCTTATCAGATGACTTGCTGATTACACAGATACCACTTTTGCCTTTTTTCTTTGTTTTACCCCGTGTGTTAGCGATGTCATATATTTGTTGCTCAAACAGTTTTAAAGTGAAAATTAAAACTTCAAGTCTCTTTTAAGGAATTCTTAAAAGTAACAATTAAGTCATACATCATAAGTGGTAAAGAAAGCCTTAAAGTTTGGAAAAATTTTGTTAGGCATCACAACAGTTGGAGTGAAAATAAATAAATTGTGTCAAAATAAGAATGTGTTAGAATTAAAAAGCTAAAGAATATTTCTCGCTCATGTTAAGTAGCATAACTAGAAGTTTTTACTATTAAACATGGCTTTTGTAAATGCATGGTCCAATAATTTTATTCACTGCCTCCTCTCTTTAATAGCTTATTAAGGTTTCACTCACCTCTAAGATAAGTTAAAAGTTATAAAAATTGTCCAATAGCAATAATTTAAAAAATGAAACTAGAGGCTGGCCCAATGGCCTAATGGTTAAGTATGGTGCCTCTACATCGGTGGCCCAAGTTCAGTTGCTGGGCACGGACCTACACCACTTATCAGCAGTCATGCTAAGGCAGAGACCCACATACAAAATAGAGGAAGATTAGCACAAATGTTAGTTCAGGGCAAATCTTCCTCAAGCAAAAAGAGGAAGATTGGCAATAGATGTTAGCTCAAGATAAATCTTCCTCAGGGAAAAAAAGGAAACTAGATTTTTAAATTAATTTGATACTTTTTAAAAATATGAAAGTGACATAAAAATTTGTTGAGAGAAACTAAAGATAAGAGGCACCATTGCCAGCAGACCTACACTACAAGAATGTTAAAGGAAACTTTTTAGGCTGAAGGATAAATGATACCAGGCAAAAATTTAGATGCATACAAAGAAATGAATAGCAATAGACATGGTAATATGTGAGAAAGTATAAAAGACATTTTTCTCATTTAACTTGAAAAATAGTTGACAGTCTAAAGCACGAAGAATAACAATGTACTGTGAGATTTATACGATGTGAAATTAAAATATATGACAATAGCAGCAAAACAGATGGGATGGGGATATAGAAGTATACAGTTTGAAGGTTCTTACTCTATTATATAAAGTGGCACATTATTATTTGAAGAGAAATTGTGATAAAGTAAAAGAGTATATTATAAACCCATAGCAACCTCTAAAAAGTAAAAAATAAAACAAAGAAGTATAGCTCATAAGCCAGTGATTTAGATAAAAGGAAATCCTAAAAAATATTCAATTAATCCAAAGAAGGCAGGAATTTTTTTAAAGAAACTAGGATCGGATGTAACAAATAGCAAGATGTTAGATGTAAACCCAACCGTATTGATAATTACAATAATATAAAAGGCCTAAATACTCCAAATTTCTTGTTTACCAGAAACTGGCATTAAATATAAAAGCACAGATAGGTGACAAGTAAAATGATGAAAAAATTTATACCATATAATTGCTAAATCAAAAACTAAAATGCTGGCATGATTATACTAATATCAAGTAAAGTAGATTTCAGAATAAGAGGTATTTCCAAAGATAAAGAGGGCTAGCGAATAATTATAAAGAGGCCAGTTAATTAATACATGACATACTAAATATGTATACACTTGATTACAGAACTTTAAAATACATAAAACATTGATACTACCTCAGAAATGAAAGAAGAAATAAACTCATTTATATTTGGAGATTTCTAAACTTATCTCTTGGTAATTGATAGAACAGCAAAAACAATCAATAATTATAGAAAATTGGAACAATGCTATCAGCTAAGTTTACTTATTTGATATTGATGGAATAGTCTACTCAACAACAGGAGAATATCTTTTCAAGGGCACGTAAAACATTCACAAAGGTAGAAAACGTTGGGGGCCATAAAACAAGTCTCAATAAGTTTAAGGATTAAAATGATACAGTTTATGCTCTCTAACAACAATGAGATTGACCAAGAATTCATTAGCAAAATATATCTGAAAAACCTATAAATATTTGGAAATTAAACATTGCACTTTAAACCCAAAAATCCATGGGTCAAAGAAAAAAATCACAAAGTAAATTATAAAATATTTTGCACTGAATAAGAAAGGAAATAGAAAAAGTGAAAATTTGTGGGAAATAGTTTAATCAGTGCTTTGAGGAAAATTTATAGAATTTAAAGCACGTATTCAAAAAGAAGAATTATCTAAAATCAGTGATCTAAGCTGTGATCATAAATTTCAATGATTATAAAGAAAATCATTGAAACAAAAGCTGATGCTTTTAGAAAACCAATAAAACTGATCAAAACTCTGCCACATCGATGAAGAAAAAAAGAGGGAAGACTCAAAATTGAACTATCAAGAATGAAAGAGAAGTATCACCATCCATCCTATAAATATTAAAATGACAAGAAAATAACATGAGCAACTTTATGCCAGTAAAACTAGCAACAGATAGGGACCAGCCCCATGGCATAGTGGTCAAGTGTAGTGCACTTTGCTTTGGTGGCCCAGGTTTGAGGATTCAAATCCTGGGCACAGACCTATACCACTCATCAGCCATGCTGAGATGACAATCCACATTCAAAATAGAGGAAAATTGGCACAGATGTTAGTTCAGGGTTAATCTTCCTCAAGCAAAAAAAAGTATATATTTAAGAGGAGGATTGGCAACAAATATTAGCTCAGAGAGAGTCTTCCTCACAAACACAAAAATTAGCAACACATAAAATGGGCAAATTTCTTAACAGTCACAAAATCACACAATCAAGGAGAAATTAACAATGGGAATAGGGTCTCATGTATGTATTAACAAAATTGAATTCTTGGTTTAAAAAATAAACAAAATTCCAGATTCGGATGGCTTTAATGGTGAATTCTAGTAAATTTAAGTAAGAAATGAAAACAATACCATAGAAACTCTTTTCAAATGTAGACTAAGAGAGAATGCTCCCAACTCATTTTGAGGTTAGCAGTAACTGGGGAGCAAAACCAAACAGAGTGGGGTGGGGGAAGTAGAGATCATTCTCCTTCATAGATTTAGTTTCAAAAAATCTTAACAAAATTTTAGCAAATCTAATCAAAAAATCAATAAAAAATTATAATGCATCATGACTAAGTGGGCTTTATCCCAGAAATGTAACTTTGATTCAACATTAGAAAATCAATCAATGTAACCCACCAAATTAATAGATTGAAAGACAAATTCTTTCATTATCTCAACAGATATAGGAAAACAATTGACAAATTTGATAAATATTTACAATAAAAACCCCAAACAAACTAGAAATGAAAGAGAACTTCCTCAACCTCATAAAGATAAAATATAAAAAATTGATGGCTGACATCATAGTTAATAGTAAAACATTGAGTGTTTCTTCCCCAGATTCACAAACAAAGCAAGATGTCTGCTCGCATCACTTCTACTTAACATTATACTAAAGGTCCTACTCACTTGACTAAGGTAAGAAGAAGAAATAAAAGGCAAAATATTGAAAAGGAATTATGTCAAACTGTATTTGCAGACAACATGATCATATAAGTAGAAAATTATTAGGAATTTACTAAAAAAAACCTAGTATCTTAACTGAGTTATGAAGTTTCAAAGATACAGGATCAATATACAACAATTATATCTTCATGTACTAGCAACAAACAACTGAAAATTGAGATAAAATACTGATGCAATTTATAATAGCAAAAAAACCCATGACATATGCAAAGAGAAATTTAACAAAAATGTGAATATCTGTACATTGAAATCTATAAAAGAGAGCAGTTAAAGAGTATTTAAATAAATACTTTG